CACGGTACAGTTGTTGTTGCTGTTGTTGTTGCTGTTGTTGAAGGAGTTGATGCTGCAATTGCTGGTGCAGTTCCCTTTCACGCTGCTGTTGTTGCTGCTGTTGTTGTTGCTGTTGTTGAAGGAGTTGATGCTGCAATTGCTGGTGCAGTTCCCTTTCACGCTGCTGTTGTTGCTGCTGTTGTTGTTGCTGCTGATGTAATTCCCGCTCCTTCTGTAGAGCCAACTCGCGCTCTCGTTCACGTTCACGCTGCTGCTGAAGCTCCAATTGCTGCTGAGCCAGAAGTTGTTGTTGCTGCTGCTGTTGTAACACCAACTGCTGCTGCGCAAACTGTTGCTGGAATAGTTGCTGCTGCGACAACGGGCGATGCTGAGCTTGAGCTTGTTGGTACAGCTGTTGTTGCTGCTGCAATACATTAGCGTGCGTGAACGATGGTTGTTGGAACCGGTTATACAATGGATGCATTCCCGCTTGGGATACCACAGGCGTGCCCTGGGTCAAGCCACCCGAGACGGGTGATGCGGCAGGTAGCACCGATACGTATTCCGAAGATGGTACAGGGGAAGCTTTCACGGGGTGAACGACTTGTGGTGGAATAAAGCCAGATTGTTCCGGATTCGTGACCGTTTTCGGCGACTGCATAGGCGTGGAAGCCTTCCGGGGCTCCGGAATCGCCACAGTAATGGGCGCTGTGATGTTGGCGGTTATCGGTTGGGAGATGGAAGTATGTACGGGATGTTGTTCCTTTATTGAACTACTGCTGGTAGTCGGAATCTCCACGATGTCATCATCCTCAATCACAATCACGTTAGATGCAGGATCAGCAGATGGTCCCTCCTTGGGCACATCGGTCGTCTCCGCGTTCTTTTCCGCAGCAGGTTTTTCTTCCAAAATTGGCTCTTCAACGAATGATTCGCGTAACAACTGCTCCTGAAAAATAAGTTCATGTGAGGAACAAAATGGGTAGAAATACCTACAGTCCTCATCATTGCGGACTGTCGGGGCGGCTGAGCCGCGCTGCACTGTGACGCGACAGCGACTGCAGCCCAGTGACGGCGAACTGATTTCGAATTTGCTGCAAATTCCCACTTTTTCAGCTCTTCAAGCTTCGAAAGTGGAAGGTGAGTTATTTTGAACAATTTTGAATTGTACTGGCTCTAATTTCCTTTATTTTTATGTCTATTATTCTTTCTCCCTCTTTTCTTTGTATTTTGCCTTATTTCAGGCATA